CTGGTTTAATACTTTCACACAACATTTGGTGTCATACCCATTTTTATGGATGAGGAAACTGATATAAAGACTATGCAATTTGCTCAAGGTAATATTCAAGTGTTTCCTTTATGGGCTAGGGGTATGGCTCAAGAGGTAAAACACCTATCTAGAAAGCACAAGACCTTTAGTTTAAACCCCAATACTTCCATGAAGAAAAGAGTTCACATTTTAATAAACAAGAGAGTTATGAAAAGGGAAATTGGGTTTGTAGTTGAACTAGATTGTAACTGAACTAAAGCAGTATCTGCTCTTTGAATGAACTAAGGCACCTCCAGCATGCAAGTTAGACATTATCCTTTGCTTTCAAAGTGGCTCTTTGTTCTCAGCCTACTCCCCATACAATAGAGAGAGAGAGAGAGAGAGAGAGAGAGAGAGGGACATTCCAATTTATGAGGTTCCTAATTACAGACACGTAAATATGATAAGTAGCCTCCAACAGAACGAGTGCAAACCCATCAACCAGCAGGTTCTCTTACAAGGAAATTTTAGACTAGAGGAAATACTGACACAACAGAGACTGCGTATTCATCTGAAATGATGGTTGGGTTGCAACACACTGGAGGGAATGAAAAGAACTAAGAAATCAGCCATTCCTTCCTTTTCAACTGCCATGTACTCAACTTGCAACTGAAGTCTTCTTCCTCAATCATGTTACTCCAGTAAACTAACCACAAACTAGCCACCTCTTACTGACCTACCGTTTTGTAGAACTGGGTAGACTCCATTGCTTGTTTGCAATTGAGTACGTGAAAGAAGAACAGAATAGAACAAATAGGACTGAAACCAGCAGTATTCCTAAGTTGTTTCATGAAAAGCCCCTAGGATCCAATCAAAGATAGTTTTTGGAGCCAGCTTTTCAAAAATGGACATGCATGGAAGATGCTTGCTCATTCAGGCCGTGACCTCTGGATCTCACAAGTTCAAATTTCACCATGTAGAACATGTTGGCACCCCTGAAAAGAAACTTGTGAGCTGCAAAACAGAGTAAGGCCATTTTATGAATGTGCCCAAGAATTTTAACTGTCCATTCTCACAATCTAATGGAGAGACAGGTTCAGCTCCTGGCCTCTTTGCCAGTTGACAACACAACCAAGCTTGCTTTTATTATTGTTGTTGTTGTTATTGGTTGGTTGTAGGGCTTGAACTAAGGGTCTGAGCACTATCCTTGAGATTTTATGCTCAAGGTTTGTGCTGTACCATTTTGAGCCACAGCTCCACTTCTAGTTTTTAGGTGGTTAATTGAATATAAAAGTTTCCTACCCAGTCTGGATTCTAACTACAATCTTCAGATCTCAGCCTCTAGAGTAGCTAGGATTACAGGTATGAGTCACTGGTGGCCAGCTTATTGTTAATTTTTAAATCCTACTGCCTTACAATTGGCCTCTTGCTCACATAAGGACTTTAATCATAAGAATATTTAAAACTGAAAAACAGGTCTCCAGTGGCTCATAATTTTAATCCTAACTAGTTAGGAGATAGGAAATAGAAGGAACAAGGTTCAAAGCCAGCTAAGGCACAAACATTCTATAGATCCCTTCTAAACCATAGCTGGGTGAAGTGGCCTGTCATCCCCAGCTACATGGAAGGTTGAGATTGGGTTCCAGACCAGCCTAGGCAGAAAAGACCCAAAGATTCTATCTCTATTGAGAGAAGCTAGACTTGCTGGTACATGCCCATGATCCTAGTAACACAGAAAGCCTAAAAGCTGGAGGACTGTAGCTCAGGCAAGTGCCCAGGTTGGAAAGCAAGACTCTATCCTTAAAGTAATTAGAGAAAAAATGGCTGGATGCATGGCTCAGTGGTAGAGTGTCTGCCTAATAAGCACAGGGCCCGGAGTTAGTTATATATACATATATACATACACACACACACATATCTATGCAATTAGTAATCTGAGGGGATTTTTTATTATTAAAGTCTAAACATTTTGAAGTGTGCAATTTTATAATGGTGAGAATATTCACCAGAAATTCATTTTGTCATATAAACTCAATACTGACTTAACAATGCCTCATTTGCCTCTTGTGCTCTCTGGCAGTCATTTTCTTTTCTGTTTCTGTGAATCATGGTCTGGCAGAGTGGCCCAAGTGGTACAGTGTCTGCCTAGCATGAATTCAAACTGAGTTCAGACCCTAATATGACAAAAAAAAAGTTTCTAGTCAAGTGCTGGTAGCTCACACCTGTATCCTAGCTACTCAGGAGGCTGAGATCTGAGGATCTCCACTCAAAGCCAACCTGGGCAGGAAAGTCTGTGAGACTCTTTACCTCCAATTAACCACCAGAAAACCAGAAGTGGAATTATGGCCCAAGTGATAGAGTGCTAGCCTTGAGCAAGATTGCTCAGGGATAGCGCCCAGGCTCTGAGTTCAGGCCCCATGAACAACAACAAAAGTTTCTAAAGTCTTGACAAAGTGAGATTAATAAAACTAAACTAAATAACACAATATTTGTTGTTGTAGTATGTGACAAGATTTAATTTTTCTTTAAAGGTAATGTTTAGCCGTTCATCTGTCCTCTGACTCTGGGTTGCTTCAACATCTTGGATACAGTGAGGTATAGCCAGCCCCATGATTTTAGAGCTGTAAGATCCACTTAAGGTTTCTAACAAATAAGTTGTGAGATAATAACCAGATGTTGGCTGAAACTGCTAAATTTGTGATCTTTGGTTATGGCTGCAATAGGACACAAATGCACCACCACTGGGTCTTTCCCAGTCCTTTGCAGGTGTCAGCTGAAAGGCTAGTCAACCAATTCCCTGCCAATTTTCTAGTGGGCCAGGGCTGCCATTTGCCTCTCATGTCACTGCTAGTGAATTGCCACAGGAACCAAGGATTTTTAGAGCTAGGAAAAAAATCTCCATTAGCTTTCTGGCCAGCAGGGTCTAGGCACAATATAGGGCCAAAGGCTGGTCACTGTTAGCATGACCTCCATCTCAGATCCTCAGACCCTCCCTCAACACCAGTTGATGTGGCCAGGCCTATCTGCAGCTGGCCTTCAGCCCTGGCAGCTCCTCCCACTTCACTTGCCTGGAGTCCTGTTTCACCCCTAGCCCTCAGCTACATCCTGGGAATGCTGCCTAACTGTAACTGTTACAATAAAAAAAAAAAAACCCACCCCCAACTAGGTGCCATCTTCAGTGTTCAGCTGCAAACACACAGGAAGGACTTCCCATACTTCCTGCCCCTAACCCCCTGAATATAATTTAACCCTGAACAAAAGATGGGCACTATTTCTCCCTCCTTCAGGGGAGAGGTGGCCTTGTCATCGTTGGCTGGCAAATAAACTCCTTTTCCTGTATGTGATTGTGTCTGGGTGGTCTTCTGGGATGGCTGCTAACAGTCACATCTTTACATGGTTTTCCTTAAACTTCCCCTCCCCCCAGTACTTAAAATATAATGCATGTTCATGGTTTAAGAAATACAGAGGAGTTGGGGGTGGGGAGAAGGAAGAGTTGGGGAGGTGGGGAGGGAAGGGATGGTAGGGGATAAACAAAGGAGGAGGTAACAATGCTCGATAGGAAATGTACTCATTACCCTACTCATGTTACTGTAACCCCTCTGTACAATATTTTTACTATATATATATATATATATATATATATGGAAAAAAAGAAGAAATACAGAGGGGTAGAAGTGTGCGTTAACTCACAATAACAACAAAAACCGAAAGAGGACAGAAGTTGATTCAGTGCAAAGTAAAACAGCCTTGCGCCCTTGCTCAGGATACCACCTTTCTAGAAGGTCTTCCTGTAATACAGTTTTTGTATAATTCTCTTCTTTTAGTTTTTTTTCTTTTAGACAGAATAGCTCTATACATATTTTCTATAACTTGTTTTTCCCCTTGATTATTAGATCTTGGTATATTTTCTTTTTTTTCTATCACACAAAAGCTAATTTAATATATTAACTGGATTTTGAGCAGTCACAATAATGTGGCTCCATCTGCAATCAGCACTTTCATAGATAAAATTATGCATATACATGTGTAATGTGTAATACAAATATTTTGCCTACCTTTTAATGTTTAAATCACGTCCACACATTGAGTGAAATGCACTTAAACATTCTTTAATATCAGCTAGAATCTCTACTTTTTCCCAGCTATATAAAAAGAAAACAAGGGGCTGGAAAGGTGGCTCAGTAGTAGGCTGCCTGCTCTGCATGGATGAGGCCCTGGGTTCGATTCCTCACATAAGCCTCGGACGTGGCGCTGTGGCTTAAGTGGTAGAGCACTAACCTTGAACTGAAGAGCTGAGGGACAGCACCCAGGCCCAGAGTTCAGGCCCCACAACTGATAAAAACAAAAGAAGGAAAGAAAGAAAGAAAGAAAGAAAGAAAGAAAGAAAGAAAGAAAGAAAGAAAGAAAGAAAGAAAGAAGGAAGGAAGGAAGGAAGGAAGGAAAGAAAGAAAGAAAGGAAGGAAGGAAGGAAAGGAAGAAAGAAAGAAAGAAAGAAAGAAGAAAGAAAACAAGCAGGGCGCTGGTGGCTACTACTCAGGAGGCTGAGATTTGAGAATTGAAATTCAAAGCCAGCTCAAACAGAAAAGTCTGAGATTCTTATCTCCAATTAACTCCTGAAAACCGGAAGTGGCTCTGAGGCTCAAAGTGGTAGAGTGCTAGCTTTGAGCAAAAAAGCTCAGAACAAAGCCCAGGTCCTGAGTTCAAGGTCTACAATCAGTGTGGGGGATTATAAACAACAACAACAAAAACAGATGGAAAACAGTATTACAGAACTTCCTCACCTGAAATTACAAAACTGTGCATATGGGTGTGTGTTGACATTTATATTTTTCCCCATTCAATCCTTTTGGCTGAAATACATTCATGTACTCCCCTCTTACTGTGAAGCCTTCCTGTCACTCAAGCCAAACTTCTACTCCTTTACTAATACCCCACCTCCAGTTGTCATTTGGCTGTGGAATTATATCTTCTTCATTAGAGCTCTCTTTTAAAATTTCATTTCATAAATCTGGCATGTGAGGTTTGAATTGCTCTGTCACCATTTTCTCTTCTTCAGTCAATGGTGACAACTCCAGATCTCTATGCTTTTGGAGTTCTTGTATCATAGTCATGGTCTTATTCAAAGTAGTACAAATGCGGCTCTTAGTCTCTTTCTGCTCAACAACGACTGGCTTAAAACATGCATACCAGGTTTGATATCGAGACTTTAAGGCTGTCAATTCCTTTAAAAGTTTAACTGGATTTTTCTTGCCTGCTGAATCAGGATGATTAGCCTTGATTTCATATTCTAGCCTGTATTGAATGTAATCCAGATCAGAATCAACTTTCTGGAACATGTGTTGAATAGTCCTTGGTATATTTTCTAATTGTCAGTACTCACAGGGTGGAGCCCACTGTCTCTCATTTCTTATGACCACATTAAAAATAGCTATACAGTTAAAATACATAATTTATTCATTTGTACCTCTGGAGGGTTATGTACATTTTCAATAGTATGTTTTCTCTGCATATTTTCAGTAGTACATGCAATATCCTCACCCCCTTGTTATTCCAGCCTTATGCAAGTTTATTTATGAAACATTTTCAGAAGTGAAATTATTGCGATAGAGGACACAGGCATTTAACCATCATAGATGCAGACTTAACAGTATCCAAAGTCACACCATGAACAGAACATACAAACATCTGTTCTGCCCACAGCCTCTGGATACATGTTTTCATCCTTATAATTTCATAGGTAGAAATGATTTCTCATTGTTATCTATATTTTCTCTGTGTGTTTCTCCCCACCCCCTCTCTTTCTCTCTCTGTGTCAGTATTGGGGCTAGAACTCAGAACTTGAGAGCTGTCCCTTCTCAAGGCTAGCACTCTACCACTTGATCTGCAGCTCCACTTCAGGCTTATTGGTGGATAATTGGAGATAAGAGTCTCACAAACTTTCCTGCCTGGGCTGTCTTTGGACCATGATACTCAGATCTCAGCCTACTGAGAGTCTTATTGGCATGAGTCACAAGTGGCTGGCTTACATTTCTTTAATTTTCTGTGAGGTACTATATCTTTTCTTATGTATATTGGATGTTTATCATCTTTTTCAGGTCCTATTTATGTCCTTTGCAAATTTTTCCACTTAATTTACACTCCTTCCTTCCTTTCTCTTTCTTCCTTTTTTTTCTTTTTCTTTCTTTCTTCTTCTTTTTATTTTTTTGTCAGTTGTGGAGCTTGAGCTCAGAGCCTGGGCTCTGTCTGTGAGCTTTGGTGCTCAAGACTAGTGCACTACCACTTTAAGCCACAGTTCCACTTCCAGTTTTCTGGTGCTTAATTGGAGATAAGAGTCATAGTTTCTGCCCTGGCTGGTTTCAAATCATGATCTTCAAATCTCAGCCTAGGTAGGATTAAAGGTATGAGATACCAGTGCCTGGCTTAAATTTATTTCTTAAAGTCACTTGTATATTAAGAAGTTAAATCTTTTGTCTGATGTTCTACAAATATTTTCTCCATGGGTTGTCTTTTCTCACTGTCCACTGATCTATTATTTGCTGTCACAATTATACATGTAAATCTAGGTAAATTGACTGATGCTTTTGTTTTAGGCCTTTGGTTTGGGGTTATGGTAGTGATTACCTACTTAAAGATTGTTACTTTTTTGAGTAAAGTCTAGGTATGTTAGCACATGTGTGTAACCTCTCAGCCACTGGGGAGGCAGAGATCAGGTGAACTGTGTTAAATGCTGGCGTTATAAGCTGGTGTTACCTCACTGGGATTCTAGGTGATGTCTTTTAACCAACTTTCAGAAAGAAATCTTTTGTGATATTCTGATTTTCTGTATTTTCACTTGACTCAAATAAGTTGCTGTGTTCCAAAGGCTTAACTATTACTTACCCAGACAGATGCCATGATATCTTACACTTTCCTTGAATGAAGATTACACTGACCTATTAGAAGAAAAAAAAGCAACTAAGTCATATAAATCTGAATTCAGAATCCATTATCTTCAGTTCAGTTCTTGCTGTTCAATCCAGAAAACAGAAGTAAACTATTAAAGAAAAACCTTCTCAGGAAGACACTGCATCTCTGTTGACAGGAATTCCATTTACTAGTCATCATAGCAGGTATCCCAAGAGACTGCACAGTCCCTCTGAGCACCACAAGGGCATAGGACAACCTCTACCCACCAGGGCTTCAAAACAAGCTTCCTGGACAGTCTGGTTTTTACCTACTTAAAATCCGGTAGCCAGATATAGTAATGCACACTTACAGACCAGCTACACAAGAGGCTGAGAACAGAGGATTGTTTGAGCTCTGGAGTTTCAAAGTTTGGATAATATAGCAACACACACACAAACACACACACACACACACACACACTTCAGTAGAATTATGTATATTACTAACTCCTGCAAGACAGATTGCCATCATAGGCATTCTGGGGGTAAAAGAAAATGGAAGAAGGAAGAAAGGGAGGAAAGAAGAGGAAAAAAAGAAAAGAGAGAGGGAAGGGGAGGGAGGGGAAAGGGAGGAGAGGGGAGAGAAAGAAAGAGGAGGGAGGAAAGGGGTGGGAGGAGAGGAGGGGAGAAGAGGGGAGAGGAGGGAAGAGGAGAATAAATACACCAGAAATGGCTCTTTCCTATGAAACCAACACAAATCTGAGCTAGATTCAGTCTGACTCTTGTCCTTGATGATGATCTTCCTGAGCCCATTTTTTTTGCACAGCCCTAAGGCTATATGCTGTGATAAAAAGAGACTCAGCTACTCTCTGGAGTTCCTTCCCATCCTTGGAAGGTGAGAGGCAAAAGGGTTCATGCGTAGGGATTGCAGGCACACTGTCCATAAGTACACATTACTCAAGCATGCTGGCTTGTCTCCAAGCTTGATTTAGAAGTGCAAGTTGCTCCCACCCATCCTGGGAACAAAATATTCTAAAAGTTCAACGATAGCCTCATAGCAAAGTTCAACAGGAAATCACAAGAATCCCAGGAAATAGTTAGCCTGGGATTTCTCAGGCCCTCAGTAGCCTGGGACAGTGGACTCTAGTTATAGAATCTGACCCTTTATCTCTTCACTGTAACTACAGGGTATTTCTTCTGGGTTTACCTCTTATTATAGTTTGGATCTGCAATGTCCTGCATAGGCACAGGTGTTGAATGAAGGCTTGGTCTGAAATGTAGCCGTATTCAGAGTTGGGGCTTCTGGGAAGTGACTGGATCATCAGGGCTCTGATTTCCTCAATGCAGTAATCCATGAATGGACTCAGAATCTGGTGGGCCACTGGGTGGAAGCTTAGGAGGTGGGAACTCGTTGAAGGTCCTTAGGGGCATGCCATTGTGGGGACACATCATCTCCCTGCCCTTCCTGCCTCTGTCTTCATGTATTTCCTGGCTACCACCAAGACAGCAGCCCTCTTGTCACCACCATGCTCTGTCATGGACAGCTGGCTCTACTGCCCATAGCAGTGAAACTGTGAGCCACTAGAAACCTTTTCTTTTTGAAAATTGTTCCTGCCAGGCATTTTGTCACAGTAATGAAAAGCTGATTAACACCCTCCTTAAATCTAGACTCAAATATCTTTGCGACTAAGTTCCTCAGCTATAAAAAGGAGAGCGGGCTGTTGCTAGCATGAAATGAGACAATATGTATAATATCAGCTAGGATTTTGTGTTCTTACTACCTGACAAGTTAAACTATACAAGTTTTCGAAGGTCAGTTTTACAAGGCTGGGGATTTTATTTTAAATCACATTGTTCACAGGGGCATAATAGATACTTACAAAGCACTGATGGAATAAATAGTTTAATGTATGTTTCACAATAATCTGGGCCTAGTTTAATCACTAGTAACATTTCAGTTTTGCCTATAAAAAAGCCAGGAGTTCAAGAAGTTTCACAGTCACACAGCTAGTGAGTGAATCTCTCTGAATCCAGACTGCCAGACTTCAAGTATGAGCTTGGTCTCCATGGCTTGCTACACCCAAGTACCCAGTCCACATCCGGCAAAAAGCAACCTTTTGTATTGTAAATCACACTGAATTATTACTGATCTTTAAAAAAAATTGTAAAGAGACCAAATGATCCCACAATAGAACTTCAAACACATCCTTCTGGAAAGGAATTACAGAGGTTACATAATTTCCTATTCCTTCCCACTCCATCCTGACTTCTCAGCAGATTTAACAACAAAAACAGCTGTGGGAAGGACAGTCTGATTGTCCATACATTTTTAAAAATCCCTTTTCTGGTCATTCTGAGTTTCTCCGCCTTCATGAGAACCAGGATCTTCACAGAATAATGTTTCGATGAGCATATCTTGATGAAGAGTAGGAACTGCAGCTTTATCCCAGAGCTGTGTTGCACAGCAAACTCTTGTAATGAATTTAGACTAGCCAAATTCTCGTGCCTCACACCTGTAATCCTAGCTATTCTAGAGGCTGAGATCTGAGATCGTGGATAGAAGTCAGCAGGAGCAGGAAAGCTCAGGACAATCTTATCTCCAAGTAACCACTATGAGACAGCACCCAATCCCCCAGTACCATAGCGCGTAACCCCTCTTACCCCCAAGAATGTAGACCCCTGACAACTTCTAATCAGCAACAAAAGGGGCCTCCAGTGACCCAGAACCCGAGTGGAAGCCAGAATTTCCCAGAAGTCTGCCATCACCTCCCAGACTCCCACTGCTGACTCAGAGGCCACAGGGGAGACTCAAGCCCAGGGCTCAGTTGCAATCCAAGTAAATAGTGAGTCTTTTCCTGGGGAAAGCTAACTCTCCCAATGTCCTACCCCACCACACCCCCAGAAAGTAAATGACATTGTCTAGGTGAAAGGGAGAATGTGCAATGGAGGATTCCAAGTCCTCCAAACACAGCTCTGCGCCAGCACCCCGAGACCCTGCGGTCAGACTCCCTGCCTTTCTTATTTCGGACTCCATGATCTTTAGAAATGGGGGGGCGTGGTTAAAAGATCCCCGAAAGTGTGAGGATTGGAGGAGCATCCTGGCTGTGGGGACAGCTTGGGGCTTGGGCATCGCCGTGACCCTAGTGGGTGACCGTCCAGGCAAGCCACATTCCCCCCCCCCCCGCACAGTTGGGCGCGGGAGTCCCCCAAGGCCGGCCGGGGACCAAGCAGCCAGGCGAGGCGCGCACCCCTCGGAGCCCGAGCCCTGGAGGACCAACACTTACCCTGAGCCCCCTGGACCAGGAACACAAAAGGCCGGCCAAGGTGTTCGCTGGGGATCCCAGCTCGCTCCCTCCCGGATCGCGACCGCACCCCGTCCTCTGGCCCCTCCTCCCTCCCCGCCGTTGGACTCCACCTGCTTTCCGACCCAGGGCGGGGGTTGGGGGGAAACCGCGCCCCTGGCCGCCTGGGCCTCCAGCCTGCATCCCAGCCTCCACTCCTTGCCTGCTCTCCTTTCCTCCAACCGCACAAGGAAACACTTTCATTTCTTCCTTACATACACAGAGATCTGCAAATCTGTTTCAAGGCTTATTTTGTTCAAGGCACTGTGGATTCAGACATTACAATCCTCACCTCCAAGAAACTCACCCCGAAGACTAGGGGCAAATACCTACCACTTGTAACAGCAACTTTGATCTAGTATTTAATTTGTGCCAGCACTAGTCTAAATTCTCCATCCCTGCCTCAATTTCCATTTGTATTCTAGCTACCCTGTAAGGTACTTGCTATTACTATCCTCATTTTATAAGTGAAGGTGAGACAGAGAGGTTGTGTAAAGTACACAAAGTCGCCCAGAAAGTAGGTGGCAAGAATGCAGGAGAAACTAATCACAGCTATCATTTGGAGGAGATATTGAGTGTTCAAATCATTGTTCCATTACATTACCTGATTTCATTTTTTATTTTTATTTTGTTAACTTTCAAGGCATCTCTAAGGAGTGCTACTTTTATTAGAATTTGAAGAACAGGAAACAAGCTAGCCTGTGGCTAAGCTTTTGACTTCATGTAAGAAGTATCCTAGCTGGCCCTTGCCAGCACAATGCTCAGCCTTGTTACCCCACCTCTGGGTAGGGCTAACTCAAGAATGACACATTTCCGGTTTCAGGGCATATCTTAGCAGCTAAGTGGGAATTATTGAAAGGTTTTGAGATAGGCAAGCATGAGATACATAATCTAAGAATATACTTTTGTAAGGGTTGTTTTGTTTGTTTTTTTGTTTTGTTTTAGAATCAGGGCTGCTCATGGAGGTAGATGCCTGTAATCCCAGCAATAAGAGAAAATAAGTCAAACTGAGAAGATAAGGCAAACAAGCTTAAAACACTGAGTTCAAACCCTCGTACTACTAAAAAAAACAAAACAAAAAGTACAGTGACTGAATGGCCATTTCATGTAAACTTCTGATTTAGTTCATTTACTACTGTAAATGTGTCAAAATATATTTTGTCTAGTCTTTCAGCAGTTTAATACACAGTGTTTTGTAGCCAATAAAGGAGCAGATTTGACCTTTGTGTATTTGTGCATAAGTTTAAGAGACTGGAGCAAAGGGTTCTCAAAGCTGGGTTCTGGAACATAGAAACTTGTTAGAAATGTAAACTCTGTAAAACCACAACAAAAAACTTCTCCAACAAAGGAGGAGGCAACAATGCTGGATAAGAAATGTACTCATTACCTTGTTTCTGTAACTGTAACCCTTCTGTACAATATTTTCACAATGAAAAAAAAAAACTTCTCCAGATCCTATTCTACACCTCTTGTTTGAACAATCCCATCAGATGATTGCAATGGACCATACAGCTTAAGAAGTAATTATTTAAAAGAAACTGCTATGGAGAAAGCAAACGCATTACCCTTCCTCCCAAACCTTTTTGTACCTCTACAGGGGTACTGCTTAATCTCAGGGTCCCATGTTTTTTACTTACCTTTATTGCTCACAGCTGGTGCTCTACCAGTTGAGCCTCACCTCATTCTGTCATTTTGATGATTATTTGGAGTGCAAGCTCAAAGACTTTAATGCTCCGGCTGGCTACAAATCAAGATCCTCTAGGTGTCAGCCTCCTTCGTGTGAGCCATTGCTGTCTGACTGGGATTGGATTGCCTAAAAGATGAGTGCAGTTGGGTACCTGCGGCTCACATCTGTAATCCTAGTTATTTGGAAGCTTGAGATCAGGAGGGTAATGGTTCAGATCCAGCCCAGTCAGACAAATCTGAGAGACTCTTATCTTCAGCTAAGTAGCAGAAAGCCAGAAGTGGTGGCATGGCTCAAGTGGCAGAATACTAACTGTTCAAACAAAACCTCAAGCAAGAGCTGGAGTCCCTGAGTTCAAGCTTTAGTTCCAGCAAGCTGCATACAATCAAGCATGTCTCCTTTGGCCTCACATGACTTCTTATATAATGGAAAAGTTTAAAATAAGAGACTGGAGTTGTGCTCAAGTGTTTAACTGTGATTTGTATTTTAGAACTACAACCAATGGCTCATACGAATCCAAGCAGAAGACCAATGGTATACTCAAGTGTTTGCAAAGAGTTCAGCACAGCCATGTGAGCAAGGTGATGCCAGCCACAGGAATCAGAGTCCCTGATGACTACAGCCAGCATGAAATCGTTGTTACTTCGCATGGGCAAGGGACAGAAATGTTTCATCAGAATGAGAATTAAACCTGTGGAAGAGGGGCTGTCCAACAGGGCTTGCGGCCAGGAATGCAGGCAACTATGGCCACAATGGATGGCAGGGCAGGAGGAAGCAGCCAGTGGCCCAAACTCCACGTCTCTCCCATCAGTAGATCTCTCTGTGCAGTTAGTAACCTAGCAACTTTGGGAAGTAACCCTGTGTGTGTGTGTGCGTGTGCGCGTGCGTGTGTTTGTGTGTGCTGGTACTGGGGCTTGAATTTGGGGCTTCACCCTTTTACTTAGCTTTTTCTACTCAAAGTTGGAGCTCTAGTACTTACTACTTCCAGCTTTTTGCTGGCTAATTGGAGAAAAGAGTCTCATGGGCTTTTCTGCCCAGGTTAGCTTCCAAACTTGATGCACAGATCTCTTGTGAGTAGCTGGATTACAGATGTGAGCCACCAGTGCCAAGTGTGTTGATCTTGGAATGCAATACCTTATAGAAATTGTCCCAAACAAGGAATCTTAATAAACTTTTATCACTTGTTGAGTACTTGATGGTTTTAAACCAAAATGAGGGTTAGGAAAAAATTCTACTTGCCTTTAAAGAGAAGGTTGCAGCCTGCTTCTGTTTTATCAACTGGGTAAATGGAACAGTTGATGGAAAGAATTCAGCCTGGGTTATAGGAGCTTGAGGCTGTGTGTGTGTGTTTGTATGTATGTGTGTGTACTAGGGCTTGAATTTAGGGCCTGGGTGTTGTCCCTTAACTTTTTCACTCAAGGATGACATTCTACCACTTGAGCCATAACTCCACTTCTGGCTTTTTGCTGGTTAATTGGAGATTAGAGTCTCACAGACTTTCCTGTCAGGGGCTAGCTTCAAACTACAAAACTCCTATCTGAGCCTCCTGAGAAATACGATTACAGATGCACGCCATGAGATACCTGGCTTGGGGATAATTTTAAGCAATGTCAAGTTGTGCTGGTGAAGGCTTTGAGGATTTGGAATTCTGTAGTTCATGTGGAATGTTCAAAGAAAACCACACAGGACAAGTGTCACACAGTTGTTGAGGACAATGAGGCAGAAAGTGTAAAGGAGTCATTGTACTTGATTATATATAGTATTGCCAGATGTGCCCAATATATTATTGGCTATTGTCCCTAAAATATTACCAGGGCTATTAGCTACTCTCAGTGTGCCATTGTAAAAGGCTTTTGTTAAGAACTTCTCTCTCTCTCTCTCTCTCTCTCTCTCTCTATTCTCTCCCCCCATTATCTCTGGCTTATTTGGGAATATAATCTGTTAATTCATTGTGGTATCTTAATATCAGACTAAAGCATACAACAATGTGATTATTGGACTACATATAAACTGCAAGTTCCTCAATTCCATATACGTGAACTTAATAATACATTTTCAATAGTTTTCCTTTCCAGTTCCCAATGTTTCCCTAAAACTGTAGTCAATGAGATAATGTAAATTCAGAATGGTCATGCATATGCTACCATTCCATGCCTAAATCTATGGCCATGAAATTTCAGAGAAATGTGCCCCAGAGAAATGATGTTAGGACTTTCAGTCAGCTTTGAAAATCACAGAAAACAAAAAGAAAGTATTAAAGATTTGGAGATTACATTAGGTTTGTGCTTCTGGGAGCCGATTTTATGAAAACATGCCTTCTCAAGTCTTGTTCAATTTGCAAATGGACCAACAGAGCCCGGTTGGCCACAGTCCCTGGCAGTTTTTTGTTTTACTGAAGGGCGAAGAGACACAAATGCACAGCTTGCAGAATGCCAAGCCTGTCTGGGCTCTGTTCCATTCTGTCCCTGCCATTTTGCCCTTCACAAGCCAATGAACTCATTTGGAGGTTTGATCATCTCCAGGATGAGTGATGGACTTTAGCAAATTTCTGCCTGCACAGAAGGACATAGACATGCTCACAGGATGTCAAGTAGCCTGAGGTTTGATAATACAAATATAGTTTCAATATTCATCCTACTGTATTACATGTGGAAATTCAACTCATTTCTTTTCCTGAATGACAAAGAAAAGCTAAGATCATCTGACAATATGTAATTTTTTTCAGTGTTTTGCTCTTAATATAGTCTGACTTACTGAGTCAACCCCATTATGGAGTTTCTCTTTGAGAAATTCTACCTCAAGTTGCTGAATAACTTACTAGCTCAGTGGCTTTGTCTGTTAACGAGATGAGTACTCTAAAAAGGATGTGGCAAAACAAAGCAAACAACCAGACTGTCATTTATTAATTATTTATACAAATTTGTATAGTGGCATATGCTACTGGAGAAATCAGAAATTCATAACACACACAAATTGATACTGGAAATACAAAAATCATTTGAGGGTCAAGAAATCAGGTTGACAGCACCACCAATTTAAAAAAAATCAGTTTGAGCAGGTTTGTGGTATCAAGAATAACAAATACCTATAGGACACAGATTGTGCAAACACTTTGCAACACTATTTCCTATCTGACAATAGGAATCTGTGGGAGTCTTCTAGGATACCTGGAGCACAATAAAAAGGGAGCAAGGCAAAAAAAAATGGTGCAAACCATTCTTTCTTTGAACCTTCACAGTCAATGTTTGATAGCAAATAGCAACCCCTGAGGGCTTTTTCCTGCTTACATGAAGGCTTGATAGAAAAGGTTAGTAAAACACACACAAGGCATAAGTGAACAAGTTAGAG